GGTTTGGAATGAGGAAGAAATTCTTCGCTGTGAGGGTGGGGAGGCACTGGAAGATGTTGCCCAGAGAAGCTGTGGCGGCCCCCTCCCTGGCAGTGCTCAAGGCCAGGCTGGATGGGGCTGGGAGCAACCTGGTCTGGTGGAAGGTGTCCCTGTCCATGGCAGTGGGTTGGAACTGGATGATCTTTAAGGTCCCTTCCAACACAAACCATTCTATAACAGAAGACAAAAAAGACAAATCACTCACTTTCGGCACTGCCTGGCTAACTTCTCAGTGGACCCCTCAGCAAACTGCCGCAATCCATAATCTGTACCTCCTGCTGAGCCCAGCTTGCAGAGACCCTGAGGAGGATGAAGAGGGTACACCAGTGAGAAATGTTCGTTAATCCTCTAGTATTGCTGCCCCAAAACAGCCTAATCCCATATCTGAAGTTTGAAGTCAGTTCTAACAAAGAGAAAGCATTCTAATACCCAGCAGATCGTTCAGCTTGTAGCACAGCAAAGTGAGGTTTTTGTGCTCTTACTGGATGTCTTTAATGGAAAACTAACCAGTTTTGCCTTCAAAGGTACCAATAATCCACGTGGTCTCCTGGTCTGGCATCTCCCCCTTCCTTGCAGAGGGAAGCACCATAAACCACTCCCCAGCTGAGGTGAGTGAACCCAACATGCTCCCAGGACCTCCCCCCACTCCCAAGTCTGGTGAGTGTGGCAGGCGACAGAGGCAGGGGCTGCCACCCTTACCACCAGGGCTCGGATCTTGATCTTCTCATTCTTCGTCTTCTTGTAGATCTCCTTCAGGAGCGTCACCCCATTGGAGATGATGAAGGTGGCCCGGCTCAGCTTGGTGGAGGCATGGATGAGGGCTTCCACAGCCACCAGCTGGTCAATCTCTCTCTCGGACCCACACAGGGCAACCATCATCTCCATGACTCCCTTCATGCCAAGCAGCTTGTTGCCTAAGTCAAAGGGCCCTTGCAGAACTCCAGACACTATCTGGATGGCATGGAGGGTCTTATCCATGTCCTGTGGGTCGATTTTGCTCCTGTATGGGATAGAGGGAATAGCATGGGGAACAGTAGTTTCTTACAGTTCTTATTCCCTTGGGCAGGAACATCCTTCTCCCTCAGAGCGGGAACTGAGCTCCACTGCTGAAATGTATCGGCAGGGGGGACACAGCTGAGCCCAAATTCATGCAGAGGCTGTGATCCAGCAGGGAGGAGTACAGTGCAGGGATCTGAGGATCCCAGCTGAAGTATCCAATAGGATCTCAAGCAAATCATTATCTCCCAGGGCCTCAATTTGGCATCTAAGTGGATTGCAAGTGCCTCATCTCATCCTTAAGACCTCCTGCTCCCGTGCCTCTGGGCCAGCTCAGCCGCAGTAAGCCAGCCCCGACTCACTTGATGTACTCCTCGCAGATCACCCGGTAGTTGTCACGCTCTGGGTCGCAGCGCAGGTCATCATAGAGTTTATTTAGGAGGACGGAGGCCGTCAGCTGGGTGTTCTCTGTCAGCGGCAGGCAGTCAGGCATTTCAGGAATCTGACCCACCACTTTCAGTATCTTTTTTAAGCCTGGAAACAATGGAGTGATACAGCTGTTAGAGGGTAGAGGGTCTGTACAAAATGCAAAACACTATTTTTTCGTTTCTTCTAATGACATAGCCAGCTTGGATGGTTTTCAATTACTCTGCAGCCTAATCACTTAAGCCTTACACAAAGAAGGCACACAGATATTTACTGGGGAGGAGCTTCTGCTGGTGAGATTACAGGTTTGCAGCACCAGGCTTTTATGCAGCTCTCAGAGTGAGATAAAAGCAACGCTGTGCATTTGGTCCCTGGCTGGACCAGGAGGCATTAAACCTACTGACCTCTAAGGCTGAGGAAAGGTCAGTGACTTTCAGGTGATTCTGGATGTCTTAACCCTCCTTTTGCTAAAGTGTAATTAAATAACTTCCACCAAAATGGTAACACAATGCATTGGAATTAGTATAAAAACACACCCCGCACAAATTCCTCACCCCCTTCCAGTCCTAGAAATGACCAGTTTAAGATCCAGCAAGCTCAGCAGGTGCTCATCTCATCCTGTCTAAGCTAGACAATTTATCCAAGACAAATTCTCCTAAGATGAGTAAATACATTGGAATAAACTAACCAGAGAAGTTCCATCAGTCCTTTAGAAACCAAAAAGTTCTTGCTCTCATGCACAATTTTTTTCTTTTAATCTTAAAACTGTTTCCTGCTCGTAACTCTAACTTTGCTCCAGGATTGCATGCACCAAAGAAGCCAGAGGATTCATTTGATAGAGAAGATCAGTTCTACAGGGATTCAGGCAAGAATACGCAGCTCCACTTCTCCCAAACCAGATGGAGTGGAAGGACTCACCGTTGTCGATGACAAAGATAGTCCTGCTGTTGTCATGGTCTTTCAGGTCCTTCCTTGGTATATTCTTGTTGAGGAGGTTGAGAGCTCCGTCTCGCCCTTGCCCAGATACTTTCTTACTGACCAGCATATCCAGCAAATGCATTGTGATCATCCTCAAATCCTTTTTAGTATCTACACAGAAGCAAGGCAGTAGCAGCCAGTTACAGGAAATTATCTTTGAAAGCAGGTGAACCCAGTGAAAACCATTCAAAGCCATCGAGTGGCTGGAACATAGGTATTTAAGTTAATACCATGAGGGTAAGAGCTATGTGCAGGTTGTGATCCTGGACAGCTGAAGGGTAAAGACCCCACTTCACCAAAGAATAAGGAATAGGGTAGACATCTCAGGAGCAGAGCCCTCCTTGCTCACCCCGCTCCTCCTCCAGCAAGACTGAAGGACCACCGGGTCATGCACCGTTACCTAGCACTACGGCCTCCTCCTTCCCGTGCTGCTCCTCTTTCCCCTGGCCCAGCAAGCAGTCAGTGATGGTCTGCAGGAGGTTGCAGACAGCCAGGGAGATTTCTTCATTGTCTACAGACATCCACGTACAGATGTTGTCGATGCCCAGGCAATGGAGGATGGCGGTGGCCTGGCCCCCGAAAGGAGAGAGTAGCTGTTAGCGCGGGGTACGAGCCTTTCCTTCCTGCACGATTCAGAAAAGTCAGCCTCAGCTTGTACCAAGGAAGTGTTTTCTTGGGTGAATCCCAAATCAGTACAAGGCAGAGTTTTGCTTTTCCAGCCTTATTTTCATTTATAATAAGACAACTCCTAAAACTCTAGATTTGCCAGTAATGCAACCAACTATTTCCAATGAGGATGTTGAGATGAGCATGGCTGGGTTTGGAAGAGGCCCTCATGCAAGGTTGTTAACAAAGCCTGTTGAGTGCACGAACCCCATCCTGGCTGTGAGCAAACCCAGTGTCAGCATGCAGCCTGTCCCCGTGGATGATGGCACATCAGTAATTTGGGAGAGGCACGTTCAGAAACACGCTGACCTAGAGGGCTTTGCAGAATATCCTTTTTGCATATGACAACAGTTAACAGAAAATAACAGAAAATAGGTCTCCACTGCGCTGGATTTTTATCCAGTAGATTTTATTTTTGTTGTGCCCTAGTTCCCCCCGCTCCTTTGCGCTCTTACGTTGACACGCACGTTCACTTTGTGCATGTCCATCTCCTGCTTCCAACCATGTAACACAGACAGGACCTCTTAGGAGCTGTTTTACACCATGACGACTGCCTTGGTGTACAGTAAGGTATTAGCTGGCTCAGAGGTCCCTGGGACTTGCCTTGAGACCCTTCTCAGGAACCTTAACTTCCTTGCAGACTCTCCCTGCTTTCCCTCATCTAAGCCTTGGACAAAACTTTCCCAAAGGTATTTGTTATTTGTTGCTTTTCTGAGACCTCTGATGAAGGACTTGGATTTGACCCAGCCACGCTCACTACCACTTCAGTGGTAACATCTTGGTGAAAGTTTTACACACGAAGGCACTGTAGGGAGCACGTACAGCTTTGACCCTGGAGATCAGAAGCACAGCAACAGGAGCAGTTTCAACAGTCTGCGTTAACCCCACTTACATAATTATTTGTATTCATTTGTAGGATTTCATTTTTTTTTTTCTACGAGAACCAGAAGGAAGAAAAGAAATCCCCACTGCTCACAAACACTGTGAACTGTTGAAATTTTCCACTCCCCTGGGTGCAAGGCAATAGCAGTGAAAGTCTGGAGCACCCCATTGCTCACCCGAGCTTTATGTCCTGTGCACATGCCGGAAAGCGTCCTCACGGCTGCCAGGATCAGCTCCGCGTTTTTGGTTTCTATCAGCTGCAGCAGCAAGCTGACCCCGTTGTTCTGGAAGATCCTCTCAGCACCTGCCTCCTCCCGCCCCAGGACTATGAGGTTGTTTGCAGCCTGGATGGGAGACAGGAGAACCAGGGGTCAGTGGCACAGCCCTGCTAGCAGCCTCCAGCACACCTCTGGGCAGCTCTGGGATGTCCCGGTGGGAGCTGTGGGGCGGCCATCTCCTGACAGATGCAGTAGACCAGCTCAGACCCCACCAGGCAGTTTCTCCAGGTGAATCTGGGGACCAGCTTCGCTCTGCCCAAGAAAAGTGGGTCACTGCCTGGAAGGAAGCATGGCAAAGGTGGCAGAGATGGGCCTGAGCAGAAGTCCAGTCTGACCCTACCTTTGGTATTTTGGGAGGTTGGTCCACCTTCCCTCAGCACAGGGGTGATGCCTCATTGGGACATTTCTCCTCCCATTATCTCCAAGTGCAGTTCACCTCCAAGCTCCTTACCTCGTCCTCCATCCAGGGGAGGTAGGGAAGGGAAGAGTCTTCTGTTCCTCAGTGCAACGTCTGACATGAAACAGCATTTTTGGCAAGTCCAGGACAGTTCTCACCTTTTCTCGCTTTTCTTTCTCGCTGTTCTCATCCAGCAGGATTTCAAACATCTTCTGCACCCTCGAGTCCGTGGAGAACTGAATGCGCAGCTGTGCCAACAGAGAGTGGGTGAAGCATCAGAGGGAGAAAATCGAGGAGCAATTTTCCTTTGTCACTTCAAGGACACCACAGACCCGCAAACCACAGACAATTTAAGGTGAACAACAAAATAGACATGGCTTCTCAGCGATCAGCATCGATTACCCATCTCAGACTCGTGGGTGTGGGTGGAGCCAGCCCTAAACCATCGTTTCTGAGACCTCACAGAACCTAGTGATACAAAGACTTCTTCACAGCACCCCATAAAGGTAACTAAGTCAGTGTGGCAACTGCCAGACCCAGTCCAAAGCTGGTTCAGTTCCTTGCCAGGATGTCACCAAGACATTCAGGACCAAGCCAGCCTCAGGAGTGAACTGCCACACTTTTTAATTTAACCACTCCACCTGATCCTCAGATTCACATGCTTCAAGTATGAACTTCCAGCTAACGGAGCCTAATTACCCCCTTACATTGTTATGAGTTTCCAGTTGACCAACAATCCATCAGTGTAACCCAGAGCAAAGACTTCCCACACCTGGTCTGTGAACCTGGGACTGCTCCCCTGGCATTTACCTTCTCCTGGATGTTGGTGCCCAGTCGCCTCAGGGTTTCCTGGAAGTTTTTGTTGCGGGGTTCGATGGTGGCACATTTCTGAGCATCTTTGAACGCTTGGTCCAATTTGCCCAATTTTTCCAGAGCTTGGCTGCGCCGGTACAAGGCTTTGATATCCGAAGCATTGATGTCAATAGCTGGGAAAGTGATGCAAAACATCAGGCATCAGAGTCTGCTTCTTGGAAATCCTCTCTGTAAACTGTGACTTGCTTTACAGTGGCTACAGCTCCTTGGGACGTGGTGGTTGTTAACACTGAGTGAACTGGGACCTGATCAGCACCGACTGCACCAACACACCGAATTGGTACCTCTTCTTTTGAACCTCCTCCACGTGGCCTCAGCACGTGGGTGTTAGTGGACATCAAGAAGTAAGACCACAGCGCCCCAAAAGCAGATGTGAGAGCAAGCTGGAGTAAGCACACCCAGCAACACAGCTCTCCTCTCTCAAACCAGCCCCCTCCTTACCTCTAGATGCATCTGAGGCTGCCTTGGCATATTCCTCCTGTTAAACCAGAGGGGAGAAGCCATTTGTTAGCAGTGGAATAGCAGGGCATGTCCCCACTGCTGACGCACACTGTGACCTCTCTGTTCCCACTTGCTAACAGGACACCTCAGTGAGGCCAGCAGCAGCCTACAGAAGGAAAGATGGGGGCTTAGATGCCTTTTCATCACTGATGGAAAGGAAGAGGAAAAGGTCCGTGATGCAGGTGAGACAACATACGGTGCTGCAGTGGCAGATCGTGGGCAGCGAAGGAAGAGGGAACACTCACACAGCCTATCTGCAGCTTGGTCTGGGTTGGCGTCACTTCTGGATTGGTGAACATCAGGAACATGCAAGCAAGCTGCTAAAATCCCACAGCAGGTCGCTCCAAGCTGACTGCCAGGGAGCTGGGGCAATTTGGAACAGATACCAATAACTTTTTGTTTCGCTAAATCTCTGCCTGGTTCTCTTGCGCTGGGACAGACAGCAAGAGCGATGCCTCTGCAGCCCACCCCGAGGCTTCCAGAGCTCTCTTGTCAGCATGGAGCAGGCTGGCTGCCAAAAGCTTTGGCTTCAGAGTGATTAAGCGGGACCATCTCTGCGCTGACCTGGTGTGCTCAGCCCCATCAGGACTGAAGCAGGGAGGCAGCTTTCCTGCTCCAGGACAAGCCCAGAACAAATCATTTCAGACCAGTTTGCAAAGCCCCTATTCAATAACTCGACAAGCCACCCAGTCCACAACTGGTGAGTGTCCTTGGCTGCCTCTCTGCTCTTCTCCCCTTGAGCACTGCCCAGGCGAGCCAGGAGCTTTTCTCACCTTTTTGAGGAAACACGCTGCCCTGTTCCTGTACAGCACTGCCTGCAGCGCCTTGTCCTTGTTCAGCTTGATGGCCTGAGTGTAGCTTTGAACAGCTTTCTCGTAGTCATTGGCCTGAAAGTATTTATTGCCCTCTTCTTTCAGCTGGATGGGATCCTCCATTTGGTGAGCTTTAAGGAAAAAACATCGATTTGTGTCCCTTTTTCATCTGCCTGTGTCACCAGCGTCACCTGCCTACTCCACCAAGCTGAGTTTCACCAAGAGACAGACGTATAATTAACACACACATTAATAAACGCAGCTTACCAGGCTGAAGAGTTTTGAAAATGAAGACCTAAATTGCTCCTCAAGGCTGTGGCTTCTCAGAAGCTTTTCCCACGGCTGCAGATCCTTAGGAGTCAATTAATAAAAGAAAGAAAAACAGGAAAAAAAATAATTAAAGAGGTCTGCCAGCACCACAAAGAGTCTGTACAGCTCAGGAAAGAGCTCGTCTCCGGCTCCAAGTTTGGGCAGGACCTGGCAGCTCCTGCTGCCTGTCAGTGTCACCTGTCAATGCAGCCTGTCCCCGTCCCCCCGTGCTATATAGTCCCTGGGGAGGGCTGCGAGCCAGGGCCCCTGGCGGCCAGCCCAGCTGGGGGGGGGCACCTGCGTGCTAGCAGGCAGCACCCCTCTGCAGAGAGGGGGGGATTCTCTCCCGCCCGCTGGGGCAAATCCCAACTTCCCTCTACCTGCAGAGCTGCACAGGATGTGGGGAGCAGGAACGGGGTGGTTTCCAGCCAAAAAAGCCCACGGCTAGGATGGCCGACCCCCATCAAGTGCTCAGACCCTTTTCCCTTTCTATTTAGGGAAGCAGGAGACAGCTGAGCCGCGGGGACAAGCGGCCCCAAGCCAGCAGCTGCAGCTGCACCCAGCACCTTCCAGAACACACTGGGACGGAAAGCTGACTTGCACCCAGCGCTGCCTCCTCCTCGCAGGGCCTTTGGGAGCCCACCCTGCTGGAAATCCCACCCGTGTCCGGCTCTGCCACCTCCCCTCGTTTGGCAGCCCACTAGCACAGACTAACACAGTTGTCTGTACTGGAGCATACTGGCCCACTGCTGTGATGAGTGTCTCAGGTCTCAATCTGAGTGACACCAATAGACAGGGCAGCACTGAGCTCCAAAAAAGTTGAGCCTTTCAAACACCCAGGGATCACAGTCAATCAGGAATTCTTATTTGTGACTTGTCTCCTCCAAAACACAGGTCTGGCCTTCCCGAGCTTACCTATGAGCATCCCAGCTATAAAGCAAATGGGGGAACTGCCAGTAGGGGCAGGGAAATGACTGAGGAGAGCACCGTCTGTCCAGTATCAGCCCAGTTGCTCCAGTCAGGCTTATGCTGCAGAGCTGAGCTATAGCGAACACACTTCCACACTGAGACACTGCCAAGAACAAAAAATCCGTTCTCTTTAATACTGGTGATCTGTGTTGTGGCTTGTGGATCTTACGCAGCAAGAGTCGGCACAAGACTGCCCCGTTCGGGCCTCCTATTTTATTTGCCCTGCAGCGACAGCACTGCCTGGTCCCTGGTATCCAGGCAGGAGGTGACTGCAAAGCAATTTGGAAGTCCCTCGCAGCAGATCACCTGCACAGCAGTTGCAGGCAGCTCCGTCGAGGGCAGCTCAAAAACTTCCCCTGTTTGGGGGTCTGAGGCACAAGGACCACATCTGTGGAGGGTGTAAGAGGCCATCTCTGCCTTGGACAGACACAGTACAGTGGGTTTTTTAGGACTCACGTGGACTAACATGCCAGAAACCCCTTCCCACATTGCTTTAGGTCCAGGGGAAGGGTCAGCTTGCTTCATTTCAGCACTCACGGTGCAGGCAGCACAGCCTTTCTCACGTCATCCAGAATAAAGGCTTCATTTCCACAAGTGGCAGCGCTGCAGGTACTTCAAGTAACCTAAGTTACAAAATAAAACTGTGTTGGATGCTGCTAATGGTCGAGACAGAGTTAAGAGTGCCCTGAGCTCCCCTCGGTCTGCGCTTTTGGCACAGGGTACCGGCGATCCCACCACGCCGGCAGTGAGGAGCGGCTGCCCGGGACGGGGCGACCGGCCCCGCAACTCCCCTTGTCCCGGTGCCTTTCCGCAGCCGGAGCAGTGTCATGGGCGCTGGGACGGCCGCAGGCAGGGCAGGCAGCGTGTGCGGGGGGCCCTCTTCAGTCCTCGGCTGAGAAAGCCAAAATAAAAACCAACCCAAACCCCTTTTTCCTGGGGAAATTCAAGGCCCAGGCAGCCAGGGAGGGGGACAGCCCCCGGGTTTCCCCTGCAGCAAGCCCCTCTCGGGGCAGAGCTCTCCCTGCCCGCAGAGCAAAGCCCCCCCCGCCTTTAATCTTCCACCCTGCAACCCCAACTGCAAGCACCGGCTGATGGGTTTTGCTAAACCCAGCCCTGGAATCACCCCTTACCTTGTGGCTCCAAGCCACCTTCTAATCCAGGACCTTGCAGAGAGCTGGCAAGGTCCGTGGTGAAATTACCCTCCAGAACATCCCAGAGTGAGCTCCAGCGCCTCTAGAGCAACAGCAGGGGCGCAGAAGCAGCTGTGCTCAGCACCCAGCGCTTTTCTCCAACACAGCATTAGAGACCTTCTCCTCGGGGTGAAGCTCCCTTTTAGATCTGCTCCCAACCCCCTAACGCAGATTTAGGGCAGTTAAATGTCCGCATAGAGCTCAGGTTCGTCTCTGAAATAACTTCAGAAATTATGAGCAAAGCTTTTTTCCTATTTACACCAGCTGCTCTCCCAGCAAGCACCTGGACCCCGCCAGCTTTGCAGGGGACCATGGGTCCACCCAGCTCCACCAGCAGCAGAAAGCCCAGCTCTGCTTTGAAGAGCGAAACAAGCCCTGCTCAGAAACACGCCGAGCTCTGTCAGAACGGGCTGGAGCAGCCTCACCTCCATCTCCTCCTCCTCCGGTCTGCCTCCATTTTCAAACGAGCTTGCTCGCTTCTCCCCAGCAGCAGCATCTGCCTCCCCCCAACCAGCCAGCCCAGGCTCTGATGCTGCCATTTACAGAGCTGTGGCACTGCCGGCACCTCTGCTGCCGTCCTGTACAGCCAGCTGCTGGCTGGGGGGGCTCCTACAGAGAAGGGGGGCGCCCCTTTCTGCTCCCTTCGCTCCAGCTTTCCTGCAGCTCCTGAGCAGGCT